GGGGTTTCTTATGATAGCTATTTGGACCTTATCAAACTTGTTTTTTAATGACCTTTTGCTTTCTTCATGTATTTGTATATTTTGAGTATATGCCGACTCGAATAGCAGCCGAGGCACCTAATTTTACCACAAAAACTGCATTAAAAATGTGCTGAAAAACTCGGCTTATACACGAGTATATGTGGTATATACCTGGTGTCATCCTACAATTCATCTCTTTTTTTGTTTTTGTTTTATCATTTTATTGGGGGCTTACACAGCTCTTAACACCATCCATCCATCCATCTATTGTGTCAAGCACATTTGTACATATGTTTCCATCATCATTTTCAAAACATTTTCTTTCTACTTGAGCCCTTGATATTAGCTCATTCCAATCCCCCTCCCTCCTTCCCTCATGATTCCTTGATAATTTATAAATTATTTTTTTTATGTCTTACACCAACCGCTGTCTCCCTTTACTCACTTTTCTGTTGCCTGCCACCTGGGAAGGGGTTATTTGTCGATCAATGTGATCGGCTATCCCTTTCTCCCCCCACCATTCCCTTACCCTCCTGGTATCACTACTCTCATTATTGGTCCTGAAGGATTAATCTGCCCTGGATTCCCTGTGTTTCCAGCTCTTACCTGTACCAGTGTACATGCTCTGGTCTTGCTGGATATGTAAGGTAGAATTTGGGTAATTCCTCAGTCTTTTGACCGTTAGTGTTCAATGTGGGCTCCAGATTCTTGTGGGGTATGCTCAAGGTCATATTGTGGTTTCCTTGGACTGTTTTCGTTTTCTTCAGCTTCCATTTGAATTTGCAGTTGATGGTCTGTTTTATAGTTAACCCAACATTGTTCTGACTGATGCTATTGAGCTTCTTCATCTTCTCTTTCCACAGATAAGGTCAACCGGGTTTTTTTTCTGTTTTTGTCCAGTGAGGTCTGCATGTATAGCTGCCATTTGTGTTGTTGAAAAATGGTATTTGCGGTGAATAAATAAGTGGCTTGTCCTTTCTAACTCCAAGGTCGTGTTTTCCTCTTTCTTTCTAACTTTTACATCCCAGTCACCAGTTACTGTCAACGCTTCTTGATCACATGTCTTGGATTTCTCTTTCCTTATTGCATTAGGCAGGGTTCTCTAGAGAAACAAAACCAGGACACACACACACACACACACACACACACACACACAGATTTATACAGTGAGAAGGAATGTATCCGCTAATTAGTCCACACCGCAGCACGGAGGACTCATTTTAACTCACTTCCATGAAACAGTTAATATACTGCAGGTCCTTCAACTAAGTGGGCTGTCTGCTCCAAGGTCCAGGAAGCAAGTGGCAAGACAGGCCGAGTCAGCTGCAGGCAGCAGGGAGACAGCAGCAGTCAGTAGCTCAGGAGCTGCTCAATCTCAAACTCAAGCGATACCCAGCGGCAGGACCTGCCAGCCTCAAGCTCACACGGTGCACCCAGCGTGCCCATTCTACCCATTCGCAGCATGGTGTAGCACTACACGGGTGAGGCAAAGAACTAGCTCCAGCAGCAGCCCATAACAAGTATTTATCTCGGTTTCCCTCCAGTCAAGCTGCAACCCGACTAAACTCCGCCCACTGTCCCTGTGGAGGCCTCCTTGGCACCACAACCCTGTCACACTAGGCGTTAGTGTGTAAATGTGAGTGACACTTATGGATATGTGAAGTAGCCTTCCTTGTAGACCTATGGAGGTGCTCCTGTCACTCATACCATTGTACTTCGGGATCTCTCTTGGTTTTCGAGAGTGGATGCGATGCCTCCGCTCCTCAGGTTATCACCCTGACGCAGTAGACCGTATGCTTGCCCGATTCCGCATGACAATACCAGTTCTCTTCGGTTCACTAAGGCCTGGGACTTGGGTCTGTGTCCTGCCCCCTTTCCCTTTTCACTACTTCCAGTTTTCCCACGTGCACAGTCCATGTTCTGATTATTAATGGACGTGCGCCCTTGTCTCTTCTCATTGAGCCGAGCTCTGCTCCGTCCACATCCGTAAGGTTGATTCTATTGTGAGGAGGCAGTTCTTCCTCCGTCACTGTTACCCCGACCCTCAGAGGTGGACCGCCTCTACCTTCTTTGTAGTCTGTTCTTAGTCTAGAAACTCTGCTGAAGCCTGCTCACTCTGCAGGACTCTGCTGGCATTTGAAATGCCCCTGACACAGCTTCTAGCATCACAGCAACACACAAACCACCACAGCACCACACACTGACAACATCAGTGGTGGAACTATGTCTGTGAAACTGTGATTCATATGAAGGGGCTTAAAAAGTTGTGGGGAAATTCCATTATTGAAGGCCCCTCATGGTTTGAAGAAGGTCAACCTGGATGATGTGTCAGCATTATGGTTGTCAAGTTGGAAAGATGTAAATTAATAGAATCACTTTGGGATGCCCAGGCCTGTTGGACATTTAAGCAGCTTGAAGTCCATCGTATTGGCCCCGTGGGGTTTTGTCATCCAGCGGGTTCTGCCTCGTGGCCATGTGTCTGAGCAGAACTGTGCCCCTGAGTGTGGTCAGTGATGGAGCTGTGAGAGTTTGCCCTGTTTCCACAGCCTGCAAACTCTTTTTAAACCTTCAAAACAATCAAGACAAAACTTCGTGCCGCTGAGTCGATTCCAAATCGTAGTGCCCGTGTCGGGCAGAGTCGACTACCCCAGAGGATAGTAGAGGAGACAAGGCTATAATGTCTAAGGACTTGGACTCCCCGGCTTTCAAACCATTGGCCTTCCACCTAGCACATGAGCACCGTAGGGCTCCTTTGCTAAACTTCAGGAGCCCATAATTAGGCCAAGCCAGAGTGGTGTTCTTGCCTTGCTCTTCTCTGATCGACTGAAAGGCACTCGAGAGGAGGATGGGAAACGAGATGTGCATGAAGGGTTGACTGGTGTCGCAGAGGCTAGCAAGATGGGGATGAGAGGCCCTGTCTACACAGATGGCCTCACTGATTCCATTGCCCTTCATCCTTGCATCTCTTCCCTGTTTCCTAGGATATCCGCGATTGCTCAGGACCACTCGGTGCACTCACGGAACTGAACACTAAAGTCAAAGAGAAGTTTCAGCAGTTACGGCACAGAATCCAGGTGAGCGGCCACAGTGCGAGATGCTGGAGAGCCGGGGAGGGGGCCTGGCCCTGAGATTCGTCTCTGCATCAGTGGCTACGCGAGGGCTGATGTAGGAAACCGTGTGATAGCGAGCGCAGCCCTGTGCCAAGCTGGCGTCCAGGGCAAGATCCGGAGCTTGTGACTGCAGGTCCTCGTGGAGGGCGGGCACCCGAAAGCCCTGTCGTCATTTCCAGTACTTGCGTGTCACTCCCACACTCTCCACTTCCGATGCATATAGAAACTGGACTGTGTGTAAGGGAGGCAGAAAAAGAATCTCTACCTCTGAATTACATATTGGTGAACAATAGTGGAGAGACCATGGACTGCCAGAGAAGAAACACGTCTGTCTGCCTTGGAAGACGTGCATAGCAAGGACCGTGAGGGTGGTGCAGGGCGGGGCAGTGTGTCGTTCTGGTACATGGGTGACTGGGAGTCGGAAGCTACTTGGCGGTACCTAACTAACCAAGTCACGGCTCTCTCCAACCCTCCCCGTGTGCCCCCAGTCCAGCCCCTTGACTGCCCAGTGCCTTCTTCCCTGTGTCTCTGGTCACCAGACACACCGTATGCATTTGTCGTTGGGTGTTGTCGGATCCAGCTCATGATGGTTCCAGCTCATAGTGACCATGTGCACAACTGAGAGACACTCACGCTGCCCAGTCCTGTGCCAGCCTCAAAATTATTCTTCGAGGAGTCCACTGTTGCAGCCACCTGGTCAGTCCACCTCGTTGAGGGTCTTCCTCTTTTTTTGCTGCCCCTCCCCTTGACCGAGCACAGGGTCCTCATCCACATGCACAGTTAACACTCCTGAACTTACCTCTGCTTTACATATTGCCCCAAAAGACACTGGGGAGGAAGAAGGGGCCATTTGAAGCGTGTGGCTGTTTATAGTGCTAGGCCTTCTCTGCGGGCGAAATGGGTGCTTTGGCCAGGCCTAGTCCTCAGTGTGTTGTGATCACAGGCTTTAAAGTAGTGGTTCTCTACCTTCCTCATGCCACTACCCTTTCATACAGTTCCTCATGTTGTGGTGACCCCCAACCATAACATTATTTTCGTTGCTGCTTCATAATTAATTTTGCTACTGTTATGAACCGTCATACAAATATCTGATACGTGGGGTGTATTTTCATGTTACAAATTGAACATAATTAAAGCATAGTGATTAATCACAAAAACAATATGTAATTATAAATTGTGAAATACTTATTTCTAATGACAAATAGATGAAATTTTGTCTCGAAGCATGGTGTAGCATGGGTAACAAGTCTTAATATAACAACAGTAAACTACATTGCTACATTTTGCTATATAGAGGAGTGGTGTCTCAGTTCCTAAGACCATTGGAAATAATGTGTTTTCCGATGGTCTTAGGTGACCCCTGTCAAAGGGTCATTGGGCCCCCAAAGGGGTCAAGACCCGCAGGTTGAGAACCGCTGGTTTAAAGGACTGCTTTTCTCACCACACGGCCCCCAGAGCTCCATCAGCAGAGCAGTCTGTGGCAGGGCTGGCAGAGAAGCTGGCCCGCTGGGCAGTTTTGAACCCTTGGATTTTCTGCTGCAGCTGTTAACTTTTGAAACCCAATAATGCCCGATAGCTAGCTCATCTCTGCCTCATCTCCAGCAATCTAATCATTGCAGTTTGGGGTGTTTCTCTTTGGAGGAAGTGTTACTTTTATAAAGTTCACGTGTGTGTGTGTGTGTGTGTGTGTGTGTGTGTGTGTGTGTGTGTGTGTGTGTGTGTGTGTGTGTTTGTGTGTGTGTGTGAATCCTCCGTGTTTGCTCTATTCTGCTCGCTCAAACCACTTTTATTTTTATTTATTAAAAAGAAGACAAGTCACTATGAATTAGGTGAAGCTTTACAGAACAGGGCCTGGTTCCACATTCAGCATTCCCTGCACATTCTGATCCGACTCCCCCCTTGCAGTCCCCAGTGCACCTCTACCCCACTTCGTCCCCGTGTTTCCGGTTCCCTTCCTCCTCCTCCTCCTTTCCTAACCCTCTAACCTTGTCCAGACCTGAAGGGAAGGGCCGTAGCCTCAGGGGGTTTCCACCAGTCTCTTATCTGACCTGTAAGCCTGCTCTCTCTTAGGATTTTGTATTCTGTTCTGTATTTTTCCACCCACTCTGGTCATATGATCCTGTTCAGAGCAGTTGGTGGTGATAGCTGGGCACCATCTAGTTCTTCTGGTCTCGGGGCTGTGGGGACTGGTGTCTGTGTGGCCCATGACTCCTCTGGACTAACCAAAGTAACCACTTTTAGTTTATTTAGGTCTTCTACTCAAATACTCAAAATGACATTTTAAAAATGTCTTTCTTCTTTTTTGTATTACCACATACGGAAGCATTGCTCTTTCAGTATGTCTGTATTAGAAATCCTTACATGTCAGTAGTAGAGAGCTTCCTCTTCTTGTTTTAATCATTGACCAGGAGTCCCTTATGTAGATGTATCTTAATTTGTTGAACTGATTTTCTATTGAAGGGCAGTGATTTGGCCTGCTTCTCCTCTGTTGTTCCGTCGTAATGCTGATTTATTATGTTTCCTAAAGGACTTTTCTTCAACGCAGCATGACTTCATCTCTCTGCTGCTGAACTGTCCGCCTGTTCGACCACTGTTAACTTCCTTCAGTAGCTTCGTGGCCTCCCCAAAACGTGCATAATACTAATCTCTCCTCGCACCCTGCAATGTCAGCTCCTTGAGCACCCCAGTAGTAAGGATCAGATCAACGGTGCAAATGTCTTGGCAGATGGAGCTAGCTATTTAAAGTACACTTAGTGTGTGTGACCCAGCATTCTTACGGTCCCCCTTCAGAGGCGTAGCCAAGTGCCGTGCTATGGCGTTGGTAGAAACACACGATTTGCTGCTTGTATATTGCCTTTAAAATCATTTTACTGCAGAGCCGTTTGCCCCACAGGAGCTTGAGCAGTCAGCTAAAGAGCAAGACAAGGAGTCGGAAAAGCAAGCTCTGCTGCAGGAAGTGGAGAATCACAAGAAGCAGATGCTCAGGTAGGTGGGCCTGGGCCCTGCCAGGTAAGGGCGTAGGTGTGTGTGCTCTGCCTGGTGCCGTGAGGCCGTGCTGTGTCGGCACACACACAAGCTGACGTTCTCTCTAGATCAGTGCTTTTTTCAATCGGGGACCGAGAGGGGTGGGTCGCTGCTCATGGCACTGTGCTATATTGTTTCATCAATTTAAACCAAACCAAAAAGGCAATGGCTTCTGTAATGGTTACTAGTTGTCATCACGGTGGCCCCTGCTCTGGAAATACCAAAACACAACAAGTTTGTGGCTAACAAGTGGAGTCTTAGCCATGGCACTGGCTCTTTTTCTCTAAGGAGAGTAACTGGAACCAGGAACCGTCCACCAAAGTGCATCCTCTTACGATGGATCCAAAGGCTTTGGTAGGACTTGACTGTCAGCCAATGAAACCAACAACTTTGAGCAAGCCCAATATTAAAGACACTTTCCCTGGGGGCTGTCACTGTGTGTCAGTCCTGAGTATGTAGTTACGGCGCCATGCTGACTCTTGATACTGACTTAGTGGTGGTGTGCCGCTTTCAACTGGATTGTCAGCATGAAACATGAGCTCGCTCCTCATGTTTCGGTCTGCGTCATTGTGTTAGACTGGGTTCTCTACAGAGAAAAAACCAAATTGCTAATAATATATTTATAAAGATAATTAGATATATAACAAGAAATGAACTGTTAAATCATATACAGATAAATATATAATACAAGAAATAAACAGTTAAGTTATAAAGCACTACAAATGGCTCAGTGCAACTCACGTCCGTGAGAGAGAGTTGTGAGAGACTAGCAGTCCTTCAAGTCCTGTCTGCTGCCAGATCTTCCTCTATTTGTAGAGAGAGCTAGGCTATGTCAGCACAGCAACCAATCACAAGGCAGGTCACCAACCGCCAGTCCCCAGCTCCAGAGATGTCTTAAAGGGACCTCAACTTACAGCGACACAGTCCACAGGCTAGGCATCCCACAGGCAGTGTAGCCTTTAAATTGAGGCACAGAACAAGCAAGGCAGCCACACACTGATCCAATGATCAAAGAGCGAGAGACAAGAAAGGCGAGGCTCACCACGCCATTTATCTCTCAGCCCTTCAGTTAATCCCACTTGTGTTGATCAGCCAGGCTAGCACAATAAACTAGCTCAATCATAATCGGAAAGAGGATAGTTGCAAAAAGATCTGAGGCTCCGCTGACCTTCCCAAGACTGTTCCTGTGCAGACCGTTCTCTTCGGAAGCCCTGCTTCTGCTCAGATCCTCTGCAGCCTCGCGAGGTGCCCCCCCCACCCCCTGCCAGACCTCTGTGTGTCTGCGGCTCTGCGTCTGCTGTGGGGAACCCTGCAGCAGCACCCTGACAGACACAGCTGTGTGCATGTCACCCGTCAGCTGTGGCGCTCCTGTGGGGCCAGGGGTGGGGAACGGGGAGCTCATGGGAGGCGACAGACGACTAGCGTGATCTGCAAGTGGTGCATTCCTGATTGCTTCCTGCTACATGTTTTGGCCCGTGTGCCACCGAGGGACCCCCGACTGTAAACCTCGGTCCCAGGCAGAAGGGAAGAGGAAGGAGTGGCAGCAGGTGGGGTGGACTCCCGGGGTTGGGCCGTGCCCACCCTTCCCTGGTTGGAGCTGACAGCCTGGGGGCAGGCAGAGCAGAGGTGGGGTACAGGGAGAGCAGAAACTCACCCACATCCCTCCGGTTCCAGCAACCAGACCTCCTGGAGGAAAGCAAACCTCACCTGCAAGATAGCCATCGACAACCTGGAGAAGACCGAGCTTCTGCAGGGGGGAGAGCTCGTCCGGCAGAGGTAGCTCTTTCTCTGTCCTCTGGGCTCTGGCAGCTGGCAAGGTGGGGATCCGCTGTAGGGAGATGGAGATTTCATTTGATTAGTGATGCTGTTTCTAGAGCCGGAGAGAAAGTGCAAAGCACAAAATGAAAATAAACCAGAATCCTGGTACTCATTTTTCCCATGCAGTCTTTTTTTTTACTAAGTCATATCGGCATCCTACATGCAATCATAGCATTTAATACCCTGCTCGAATTCACTTGAGCACAAAGATGTCTGTTGTTTTCACCACTCTTGAAACAAAACTTGAGCAGCATGTAGGACTGTTCCCCACTGCGTGACCCAGTCTCCTCTGTGGGCGCTACATCTCTAGTTCTTCCCATAGTCAAACATCGCAGTCCCACAGGGCACAAGCTAGAACCTAAGGCGCCGCCCCCATTTTGGTATGTCCTACGGAGAGGTGAAGGAGCCCTGCTGGCACAATGGATTACACATTGGGCTGCTAACAGGGTCAGAAGTTCAAAACCACCAGCCACTCTGCAGGAGAAAGATGAAGCTTTCTACACCCCTAAAAAGTTAGAGTCTTGGGCGTATGTAGGGGCAGTTCTACCTGGCCATGTAAGTAAGGTTGGACTCAACTTGCTGCAGTGAGTTTGGCTTTGGTGTTGGAGAGATGGGGTGGGGGGGTCCTTACCGGGTGGTAAGCATGAACATTTGAAGGCTACTAACACGCTAGGCCACGTTGCTGTCCAGCTGCCGTCTAGCTCATGCTCCCCTCATCTACCAGAACATGGTCTGGCCACACCCACCGCACGACTGTGGTCATCTAAAATTCTTGTGATTCCGTAGTGGCCTCTCCTTTGGACATGGGTTTGCATGCAGCCTTGCCCGTGTTAACTGTCTTCTCCCCTTCCCTGCGCTCGTAGGCGAACCCCCAAGGAGAACCTGGCCCAGACGTCCAGCAGCATCACCGAGAGCCTCATGGGTATCAGCAGGATGATGTCCCAGCAGGTGCAGCAGAGCGAGGAGGCCATGCAGACTCTAGGTGAGGCTGGGTTGGCAAGCAGCCTGCCTGCAGCGCTGGCTCCCAGGCCTCTCTGTCCACCAGGAGTCCACTGACTGGTGGGGCATCTCACTCATGAGGCGGCTTGGCAGCCTGCGCTTACCATGCACCCCTCTTTGGTCACGATGCTTCAGCTGGACATCCCCCCAACCTCTCAGCCCAGATCTCCCCAGGACAGGTGTTCCCAGGGTCTCCTGGCGCCGCTGTGTACAGGGCTTGGGAGGGCCTGGGAGCTGGGTTTTACTGAGGCATCTGGGGCCACTCACATCCGGCGGGTGTGGGAGTCACTGCCCCAGGAGAAGCACAGTGCAGCCGCCACCAGGGCTGCGGGGCCACTGCTCAGAGTGTTCTCACAGTGTCCCCTTGACTGTGAGGCTCCTTTCAGAGCCAGAGGCTGGGGAAGAGGCTGTTTGGGAGCCTCTGTCGCTTTCCCTTGAAGCACAGTTGATGCCCGCCTCTCCGGGCATGCCCCTCAGAAGGCAGGAAAAGAATTCGCCCCTCCTGATACGGGGAGGGGGACAATTTCACACACACCGTGCCAGCGTTGAGAGCATTTCAGTGCCCAGAGGCCCGGGGCCGGCCCAGCTTCAGCAGGTAACCCCTCAGGGCCCATCTTGACCCAGCTCTTCTCTCACCCTGCCCCCACCTGGATTAATTTGAATTAAATCCCAGCTGTCACCAGTAAGTATCCCAGGATGCCTCTAAAAGACAGAGCCTCGGCCATCAGCTGGAACAAGCACTACAATTAGAGTCAACTCAGGACCCAGACTCCCTGCCATCAAGTCCCTGTGACAACCGGCCACGGTAGAGGACAGGATAGAGCGGGCCCTGTGGGTCTCTGTGCCTGCAGCTCTTTACAGGAATGGTCACCCCCATCTTTCTCCCATAACGCCACTGGTGGGTTTGAACTGCCACCTGTGGTTACCAGCCCAGTGTGGAACCCCTGTGCCCCAGGACTCCCATTGTCAGCATTATCACCCCTAAAAGCCGCCTGTGATTCAGAACCCCTGTTTCTCTGTGCACCATCTGAACAGGCTGGAGCGGTTCAGGCCGCTGGCCCCCAGGCAGGCCCGGGCCCTGAAGTGACAGAATTCTGCTCCAAAGCAGGCTGGCTGGGGGCTTCTGAGGAACAAGCGGGCGCCCACTGGGAGTTGTTTGTGGGCACACCTTAGAGAAGAGATACTTCTGAAGAAAGAAACTCCCTTTCTTTATGGTCACAAACCCTGCTTGGGTCAATGCCCATGAGGGGCGTGGTGCTTGGCGCAGTCTTCAGAGTCGTGGGGAGGGAGGGGTGGCGGGGTGGGAGTCGGCAGGGGACAGGGTTCCCAGTAGTCGGCAGTTCTTGGGTGTGGGTCATGGGCCTGTGGCTCTTCGTGTCTACTTTGTGACATTCTCCCTGCTCTCTAGAAAGATAGCTATTAGGGGCGTACTTTTTAACTCTGAAATGGGGGGAAGAAAGCCAAGAGATTTTTGTTTTTCTCCTCCATCAGCCTTTTCCAAATGCTGCTCAGTGTCCTGTGGTGACTTATTGACAAGTCTGCGGAAAGTTAAGAGACCACATTTTTTCACACAGTACACCCCCACATAAAACACACACACATGGCGTGCCTGGGAGCTAATGTGTGAGGAGTTATGTGGCTTGCAAAGCCGAGTGACATGTATGTTATCTGTGTACAACAAATAAGCAGTCTGTACTTAGAGTGTTTAGGAAAAAAGCAAAACTACGTGCCCGCACTGCCCAACGGAAAGAGCGAAAGAGCGTGTGGCTCATGGGTGCCACGTGGAGCTTTCAGCAGGCACGGTTTTAAAAGTGCAAAGGAACAAGGGAGATTAATTTGAAGAGTTCTAACACATTGCTATGGAATTCATATTGAAATGATCAAGTTTTATGTCCTTTTAATGGGTCTTCTCTTCAAAATCCTGTGTGTGCCTCCCCCCGGCAGACCCCGCAGTGTGGGCCAGTCGCTGCGGCACTGGTTCGCGCAGCTCTAGGTGATGCAAAAGGGGATCCTTAGAAGACAAGTCGCCCCTGGATCCCACACCCCTGACTCACAGACGTCCGGTCCCCCCGCAGACACTCGCTGTTCCCAGTTCCTGTTTGGTCCTTCTGGCTCCTCCGAGCATGCGTTCTGTGTTCTCCCTCATAGATGAGCGGAGACGTTCACACCTGCCTTTTCACCTGACCTCAGATTTCAGTAGAGGGATGTTCTGGAGCCGGACTCGACTCTCTAGGCACAGCTGCTCCCCTCCGGGTCGGGCTGGGCACGTGAGCTCTTACGGGACCTGTGCCTCTACTTTTCCCACAGTGGCCACAGTGCAGGGGTCCACAGGCTGAAGCAAGCTCTGGCCAGTGTCGCAGGCCTGGAGGAGTGGCACATGGGAGGGCTGTGATGAGACCCAGGCCACTCTCATCCTCCTGTGCTCCTGCAAGGAGCAGTTCGGACACTAGGCCCCCTGCTGCGGCCTCACTGATGGAAAGGCCTGGCGGCTCTGGGTTTCTGGCCCCGCCTTGCTCCCATGACCCTGCGGGCTGGCTTTTGTGGTAGTTTCAGAAAGCTCAGGTTAAGCGGCTGGGGCAGGGTTTCCTGGTGATGGGCGTGTGTCATTGTGTGTAAACAGTCTACACTCCTCCCTGGACTGGCTGGGACCCAGGGCAGTGGGGCTCCCTCCTCCTCACATACTTGTCCCCTAGCCTGTTGTGGTCTCTCGTGGTCTTTGACTCGGGCACTGGGGAACCTGCTGCCACAGCCAGGCCCGGGCCTAGTGCGTGGGACAGCCCGGGTCAGAGTTCCTCCTTGCTGTGTTGCAGTTACTTCTTCACGAACTATCCTGGATGCAAATGAGGAGTTCAAGTCCATGTCAGGGACCATCCAGCTGGGGCGGAAGCTCATCACCAAGTACAATCGCCGCGAGCTGACGGACAAGCTCCTCATCTTCCTGGCCCTGGCGCTCTTCCTTGCGACCGTCCTCTACATTGTGAAGAAGCGGCTCTTCCCGTTCTTGTGAGACCTGCGAGCCCCAGCTCCGGCCCTCGGAGCTCTGTGCTGGGACCCGCCCACACCTCTCGCCCTGGCCCGACCCGGCGCACGGAGCAGCAGTCGGCTGCCCTGGCTGAGAAGTGGACAGAAGCTTGGCTCCTGGCTTCTTGCAAGAGGCGATGTGCAGGGCGAGCCAAGCCCAGTGGAGGGAGGAGACCTATCATCAGGACGCCCAGAGCCGGGTGCACACAGCACGTGCAGGCCAGCCTTGGGGACATGAGGACCTCCTGTCCTTCCCCTCCCAGGCACCCTCTAAGCCCAGGCTGGGGAGGCTAGGAAGGAGGAGTGGGAAGGACGAGGAACCCGCACATCATTCCTGAATAAAGCGGATGCGTTTCATATCTCAGATCCTTTTAGTGTTCAAAGTTGTCCCCGGGAGCCTCTGGATGTGTGTTTGGATGACTAGATTTTAAGAGCATGGCGTGGATTATGTCTTTGTTCACTCAACAAAGCATTACTAAGCTGCCATCACGTGCCGTGTGTCATAAGCTCTGCAGGACACTACAGGCCGGCCGGGCGCAGGAGCCTGCAGCCATCCCGGTGCAGAGCCGCGGCAGAGTACACTGGAAGGCCTCGCGGTGGCACCGCCACTGGAGGCCCGGCTGGCACCAAAGTGACGAGGGGCAGGTGCTAAATATAACCAAGGGGGGAGAAGTGGAGGCAGGTCTGGGCCGGAGATCTTCTAAGGCTAGGGGGTGACCCAGGCAAGCCCGGGGCCAAGGTGTTGGCGTCTGCTTATGCTCTGGCGCTGGCTTCTGGAGCTTGAGATCCCAGCCAGGGCCCCTCTGTGTTTATCGCCCAGAGGACCTGGAGGTGGGGTGGTTAGGGTTAGAAGACAAAGCCAGTTTTGAGGCTTGGCTTTGTTACTCGTGCAAGCTGCCTCCCCTCCCTGAGCCTCACGCCTCCTCCGCTGTAAAGTGGGATGAAAAGCCCCGCAGAACCCTGTAGCGTCGGTGAGAAGTTGCGTGAGCATGAATTGTTCAGGAGCAGCAGCCCCAGATTCCCAGCCACTTGAGCACTCCCTGAAAACTCTCCCTCTGACTGACCGTATCCCTCCTCCGGAAAAGAGCGTTGCGTGCAGTCGATTTTGAACTGGCCTCCCTATCTGATTCTGCAAGCCTAAACAGCCACTGAGGTGGAAATATTACACACACACCACACACACACACCACCTCCCTCACCTCACCCCACTCCCCACTGCCCGTGCACGAAGCCACCACCGCCATGGTCAGCCAGGAGAGGGCAGTGTTCACACGAAGCCACCACTGCCATGGTCAGCCAGGAGAGGGCAGTGTTCACACTCGTCGCTAGTCCTGCTGGGCATGTGATTCTGCCCTGGAGCCCATTCGAAATGTTTTATGTGTTTGCACGTTTTCAGAGACGGCGTGAAATGAACAGACAAGTATATATGCTTTGCTATCCCCATTTTCTGGGGGATGCCCCAGAAAGAACCTTCATTTTGTTAGTTAATCCAGCTTGTATCTTAAGTGTTCATTCGCTGCCAGGAATGTGCCGAGCAGCCGAGAGGAGAGTCATCCAGTGAGTATCGCATTGGACTCCTTCACACAGTGTCGACTAAGCACTTTCTGGTGGCGGTGCCAGTGATTGACGCTCAGCTCACTAACCTGAAGGCTGTGATTTGGAGCCAGCCAGCAGCACTGCCCAGGAAAGGCCTCGTGGTGCAATTCCACTCTGACATGCGGGCTGACCAGGAGTCGTACTGCAGAGGAATGAGGCTACGTGCCTTTTGTGTGCCAGGCACCGCTTGAGGGATGCCATGGTGAGCTGTGCAGGACCTCTGTCATGGGACTCACGGTGTCTAGGGGAAGACGGGCAGGCTACAAGCCATCAGCCTACCAAATAAGTGGTTAGGCTAGAGAATGAGGATGGGAGCAGAGCAGGCGGGTGATAGGAAGTGGTCAGGGTGAATTCTGTTGGGCGGCGCGGCAGGATAAGCTGGCCCATGGAGTTTCCAGGCCTGTAAATAATCGCGGAGCAAACGGCTGCATCTCTCCTGCATGGCAGCATGGCCATCTTTTCTGTAAGCAGCTGAAAGCTTAAACATGGCGCCACCATGGCAGAGAAGGGACCCGATGGGTGTTGTGGTTCGGTGCCATCAAGTTGGTTCTGACCCATGGTGACCCTGGGTGCAGCAGAATGAAGCACTGCCTGGCCCTGCACCACCCTCAGCTTGGTCATTGTGTTGTAGCTCGTGGTGCAGCCATTGTGTCTGTCCGTCCGTCTGTCTCAGAAGGGCCGCCTCGTCTTCATGCCCTCTGTTTTCTCCAGCATAGTCGTCTTCTCGAGGGACTGGGTTCTCCTGAAAGCATGTCCAAAGTCAGTGAGACAGGTCTCCCCCTCACTTCTAAGGAGCCTCCTGGTGGAATCCAAGACTGCCTGGCAGCTCACAGTACTCTCCATATTCTCCAGCGCCATAATTCAAAGACACCCGTTTTCCCTCAGCATCCTTAGTGTGGTCCGGCTTCCAGACTTATGGGCTGATTCAAAACAGCACAGCTTGGTCCTCAAAATGACCTCTTGGCGTCTTCAGAATTTAAATGGGGTATTTTGATGTAAACGTGCCCAATGTAGTGTGGCCTTTGGTTTCCTGGCGGCTGCTTCCATGGGCACTGATTGTGGACTGAGCACAATGGAATCTATACTAACAGCTGCAGCCTTTCATCTTCCAGCCAGTGCTGCAGGCTCCAGCAAGGTTGTGCCCTCTGAATCTCACAGGTCAATGTGCCCTCTTCCCATCCTGATGACCCTTTGCCTCTTACTCGACGACGAGTTCTGCTGGCGTACAGGTAAGTGTGTGAAATTCCCATTCTTCACATGGTTGTGGTGTTAGTCTGCGTAGACTAGAAACAAATCCACATAAATTTGTGTATAAGTGAGAGTTTTATATCAAGGATAATTGTACATTAAGAAAGCATCCCAAGCCAGGCCAGTCCAAGCCTATAAGTCCAATATTAGTCCATATGTCTGATACTAATCCATAAAGTCCTCTCCATACTCACAAAACACATGCAATGACACTGAATGCAGGACAATCACAGGCCAGTGGGTAGAACGTCTTTGGATCCAGTGGCGTTGTAAGCATCTCAGCATGGCTTCTCCGGCTTCAGAGGTCTGGTTGCATCAGGGTAGGTCCATATGGTTTCTCCAGCTCAGAGCATTAGGTTAGTTCCATGTGTCTTGTCAGCTGAGAGAGAGGTGTCTCCAGCCTCCAAGGAAGAAATACAGGATTTCCCAGAATTCTCAGGAGTAGGCCATACCCACACAGAGGCCTCATTGGCTATGAGCTGATTCACAAGCTTGCCTGCATCCCTATACTCTGAATCCTCAAATTGACAAGCGATTATATAACGACCATAGTTGTCCTTAGTTTTATGATCCACACAATTGGGTGTCTTTGCCTAGTCAGTAAAACACAGGTCAATGCATTTCTGCTGTTTTCTGCTGTCAGCCAGGAGCCTTCTGACATCAGCAATGATTGCCCGCACTCTGGATCTCTTCTGAACCCGGCTTGAACTTCTGGCAGTTTCCTACTGATGTACATGGCAATCATTCTGAAGTGGTCTTATCTGTAAATATCAGTGATAATGTTTGATAGTCTCTGAGTCCCTTGGGTCTCCGCAGATACTGGGTCTCTTCCATTCAGCCGGCCAGGTGACTGCCTTCCGAAGTTCTTGGCATCGACAAGGGAGTGCTTCCAGGCCTTCATCCACCTGTTAGACCCTCGCAGTTGGGTCAGTTCCCAAGCCGCCTTTTTCCTGTCTGCAGTGCAGCGGGGGCTTCTTCTGCAGGAGCATCGGTTCTCGGTCATGTGCTCCCTCCTGAAATGGCTGGGCGTTGGCCAGTTCTGCAGGGCAGAGTGGGGAGCAGCCAGGAGGGTGGCTGGCTGCAGAGGAGGAGTTGAGGAGCGGACCAGCTTTGAAACTATCAACAGCCAGCTAGGATTTCCCAGAGGAATGAATATACTCATGGGCAAAACAACAGGCACAGAAAAACGAGCGATGGAAGGTGGTAGGGGAGGACCAGGAGTCTGGTTTGGGACCATCTTGAGTTTGAGAAGTCTGTAAGGGGATCTGTAGAAAGTCTGTAGGGATAAACAAGCAGCCATCTAGCTGAGGAGCAACAAAGCCCATGTGGAAGAAGCACACAATGGATGTATGGATTGTTATAAGAGGTGTAAGAGT